TCTTCATTTGCTCCTCTGTGCTCTGATCAGATGCACTCCTCTTCCTGAGCTTTAGTTTCGGTAATGTCCTGTGAAGTGAATTCTTTTGGGGGGAGGGGTTTCCATGTATTTGGCATTGGGTCCGGCCCCACAGACCTCTCTATTGGGTTCCTGCTTCATGCCAGTATGTTGCATTCACGACTTGGAGCACCGGGTTGAGGTCTGGTCCCAGCTATGAGGGATTTTTAGATTCCATTTAGTCTATACTCTGTTCTTTGGTGAAGCTCACTGGGACCAGAAAAGGGTGATTAGTGCCTTTCTTAACAGTCGCTTGCCAGGAACAGGGGTGGGAATTTTAGTGACCTTGTTCTATATGGTTTTCATAATAACAGTTCATAGTTATTTGTTGTTTTAGATTATTTGTGAATCAGATCTTTTTGTCAAGGACTTACAGTCTCGTTGATGAGTAGAGAGCTTACCATTAGCATATCTTGCAGATATTGAAATTAATGAGATGATTCAGATTGTTCTCTGAACATGTTTAATGATCCTCACTTTCCTGAGATTTGTATGTACAGAGTTCAGTGAAACATGGCTTGGCTGGTTGGGTTTTTTGTTTTTGACCCAACTTTGTAAGTAAACAGGTCTTGGAAAAATAATTTAGAAGCTGTCCCCTTTGCCATGAGACCAGAACTGGATGGTGCCAGGCCACCGCTATTGAATATTTTTGATCGATGACTGTAGAGGACATCTTAGTCAGCAGGGAGGAAAGGCGGAATAGAGTTTCCCATTCTCATGGAATCCAGACCTCTTGGAACCATGCAAGGCCAGATGGCTCTCCAAAACTGTTGCCCTAAGATAATCTTTAAACCTTAAGCCGAAACTGTCCCCTGACGTCTTCCTGAAAAGCAAACAGTAGTTTAGCTTGACTGTTAAATATGCCGCCTTGATTATTATACTCTTTAACGATCCCCATTCTTCAACCACACTGAAGGACAGATAGAGACCTTAGAGCAATGGTTCTCAACCTTCCTAATGCCGTGACCCCTTAGTATAATTCCTCATGTTGTGGTGATCCCCTAACCATACAATTATTTTTGTTGCTACTTCATAATTGTAATTTTGCTACTGTTATCAATCAAGCGACCCCTGTGAAAGGGTTGTTCGGCCCCCAAAGGGGTCGCGACCCACAGGTTGAGAACCACTGCCTTAGAGGGTCGTGGGAAAAATCAAAAGGAGGGTGAAAATGATTGCATAACTCAAAGACTCTTACTGAACTGTACCTGTAGAAACATGAGTATGTATGTTTTTTCTGCCTATATTCTCAGCAATAGCAACAACAACAAAAACTACAGAAAAGTCTTGTTTTTTTCTTTGACTCTCTCTTTTCTTGAGAACCTGGAGTTAGATTTCCTTACTGTGCCACTTTGCGTTAGTAAGCTGACCTCTCTGAGCCGTAATGTCTTCATGGGAAAGCAATGACAGTAATCACCCCTTCCTCTCAGAATCTCTGTCTGGTTTACTGTGAGATAACCCATTAGGAATGTGCAATACAATGCCTATCAAAGCTTAAAGCGCTCAGTAAGTTTTTGCTGCTAATTTTATGTCACAGAGGTGAAGATTGGAAACTTTAAACTATCTGACAAGAGCTAGTTATGGCAATTCAAAGAGTAATTTAAAACTCCTTAAAGCATAACAACATTGTATCGTAAAACTTCACAGCACACTTTACTCACAGAACCCCAATTTACTTTGTCAGGGACATGCCAATTTCAAGGCCTTTGAGAGAAGATTCTCTTTCCTTTGAGAAAAGGCACATGTATTGGGTAGGTGAGTTTATGCCTCTCTGTTTGTATTGGAGCGCAGGAAGACGTTTGGCTTGGTATGAAAGCAGAGGTGATGGAAAGACTGCTTGAGAGATGTAACCCGAGGAGCCTGCTTAGCCTCCAACCTAGTAAGCCATCAACTCTCGTCACTTGTCACTTAATATACAATTACCAGCCAAGAAACATGAGCATGGTCCTCTGTAGGAATGTCCTTTCAGTAAATGGATGTCTTCAGGGATTTCCATCGTCTCTGGGCGTTGACCTTGGTTGCTTCGTGCAAGTATATGAGATGCATTGCTCGTTGTCATTCTCCTCCTCCTCACACTGAATTGTCAGTGTCCTTCCTGGTTCACTCGCTGTGAAGGTGGGTGAGCTCATGGTTTAGACGGCACCGAGAAAGCAGCAGAGAGGACTGGCCGCCATTTCAAGGTTCAAAAATGAGATGTGTTTGTACCCCTGAAAGAAAAAAAAATCCAATTGGTACCATCCAGGGTTCCCTGACCTTCTGTAATCAACAGTGCTGGCCACTTGACCCAATGGGGAGGTGTTATTCAACTGGCCAATTGTTCTTTAGGGAATCACTCTGATTTCTAAATTATGTCTGGGTGTGGGTCACTGCATTAGGATGAGCCAACCAAGTGAGCTTTCAGCTCAGCACACATGTATTGAGCACATATCGTGTCCCAGTAAATCAACTTGGTGATAAAGGTTGTCAGTTCACTTGGGTTAGTTGGACAGCCTTGGCATTGAGAGAGTTTAATTAGAATGTTGTTTATCTGTTCCTGATTGTGTAACCTCAGAGACCAGTGTCGCTGATCTCCATATTACCTTTGCTCCATGACCCGAGTGAAGCCCACCACTTCTTGGAGTGACATTGAATGTGGTTATTGAGCTTGATTCGTGTGGTGGTCCTTCTTCCCACCGGTGTGTGCTGTATGGTTTCATAGTCTCTGCAGTCTGTGTCCTCACTCGCCGACGGTCCCTGTGCCAGCTCTGTTGTGGCAAGCAGGAAGGAATTTCTGCATAATTTCTGATCCCACGTGATAGATTAGGTTTTAGAGAGAAGGATCGTTAAGCTTTTTTGAGACTCGGTCGGTGCTTTGGGAACAACAGCTGGATTTATACTTAGACACCTGGGTTCAGTTCCACAAGCACGAACTGAATGTATACTGTTTGCCAAACTTGTTATTGCCCGCGAGAAGTACACAGTCCAACAAGGAGCTGCTGACATACACACAGAAAGTTCTGGACTAATTAATGTAAGCAACATACACAGTGAAATACAAATGAACTAGGCATAGATGCTTTGTAGATGGTTACTTTATATGCAAAATGAGGTATGAGAGTTGAGTTTGTTAGATGAAGATTGAGGATGAAGATTGATGAAGATAGTCTTTTAAAGACACCCAAGTTATTTTTCTTGCTAAGCATTCTGGCCCCGGCTGTGTTACATAGAGGGGAGGAATACAATGGCATGTATCAGGTAGCATGGTATGTAACTTGTAAAGGGAATAATTGTGAGAGATACATGCAAGGGATGTAGGACTGAGACCTTAAAGAGTCTGGTAGGATGCACTTGAGAGCTTGAAGGATTTTGGATACATTCTTCAAGCAATTGAAAAGAACTAAACCAGCAGAGGAGCCATAGTGGCACAGTGGGCTGCTAACCCCGAGGTTGGTGGTTTGAACCTGCCATCCTCGGGCTCCGAGAAACAAAGATGCTTACTTCCATAGTTTGCTTCTGTGAAGATTGACAGCGGGGCATTTGTACTGGGTGGCGCTGTGAATTGGACTCTGCTGCAGCAGCGGGGTTTTGTTTTCAAGCCAATGGGAGACTGAAGGATGGACTTCAGTTTGCTCCCCGTGGCAGGAGCCTGCAGGCGCGCCTGGAGAGGAGTCAAGTAAGAGGAAGGAATACTATTTGGAAAGTTTAGGGTTTTGTGGGGGTTGGGGCACGGTGAGTTTCCAAGGTAGCTGAATTTGCTTGCCTGTGCTGAGATGAGGAGATCACGAATGAAAGCCTGCCAGATGGACTGAGGAAAATCAGAGGAGTCGGCTGTGATTGAGGGGACCTAGACACTGCTCGTTTATAAAAGATGCGCATGAGAGAGGAGGCTGGGGAGTTGTGCTTGGATTACTGATGTCATCAACCAAGAAGGAGAAACGAGAGGAATAGGGGGGTTTGTGAAAGAGCAATAGGGGGGCTTTGTGAAGTCTTTGGAGAGAGGAGTTCCCTGTGGAACATGTTGAGTTTGAAGTGCTGCTGATGCGTCTAGTGGAGATGGCCAGTAGGCAGTCAGATATCAAAATGTGCCCTTCAGTCCAGAGGAAACCATAGATTTAGGAACCATGCACATTTAAGTGTTGATTGGGAACCCAGAGCAAAGGTGCTGGTGGGACTGGTTGAGTTGAAAGCGTGCTCAGGAAACACCGTAGGTGGGAGTAGAACAGGATGAGGAGTTGTATAGCACAGGGACTAAAGGAGCAACGAGTTTTCATGATGAAGTAACAGGTGTCAGTAGAATCTACAGAAGACAAAAGTCCTGTCACGGGGGACTTGTATTGAAACGTAGGCCACTCACTTCACTGGTGCTCTGTCCCAGTTTGGCTGGGACAAAGTATTTCTATCTGAAGTGAAGTGGTACTTTGCACCTGCCTTTGCCTCTTGTTTCGGAACTTGGGAGAAACATTGTATCCTTTGACTCTTTCGAAGAGGTGGCTGGTCTCACAGTGGCTTTCAGTCTGTGATCTGTGGGGCACTGAATTTTTACGCATCAAGAAGATCAAGGGCAAGGTCAGATGTTTGAGGGGAAGGAGGCTGCAGGCCTGCTGCTGCAAAGCACGTGGAGCAGCGTGGTTTTCACTGGCTTCCTTAACTTGACTTTGGTGTAGCATTGCCCTTGGAGCAACAAGGCAGCACTAAGAAATTTGAAAACTGCCTAGAGGCCCCATAAGAGAACCTTCAAGTGTGCACAGCCATGTAACTAATAGCTGGTCTTCAGGTTTCCTATACTCGAGGGGGAGGCCAGTAGACAGACTAGCTTAGGCACGATGGGAATTTTATTCAGAGGTCCGTCTTAGTGTCTGCGCGTGTATAAGGGCCACTATCCCGATTCTCATTAGGATTGAAGCTCTGCTACACAACTCTGCTCTAGTAAATTCTTTATTAAAAATCTTTTTACATGTCTTAACCAGGTACTGACTCAGAAGACCTTTTGGAAGAATTGATCTGCTGTTTGATGGAGCTAATCACTGATATTCCACTCTTGTAAGTTCAGATTCTGTCAGAACCCATTTTGTCTTCTTTTATATATTGAATAATGATCATTGACTGCAATTTTGCAGTGTCTTTGGGCTGGGGTAGAGTCCTTGTGTGGGCCTGCTGGGGACATAACATCCGTGGAACTTTTAACTGTGTTGCCTAATACTTGTCTGCCATCAAAGCAAGAATTTGACGATGTTAAGGGGAAAATGGCCAGACTCAGCAACATCAAGCATATGGCAGGCACAGGTATTGGAACCCAAACCAGACTCACTGCCGCCAAGTTGAGGCCAACTCCTAGTGCTCCTATAACAGGACAGAACTGCCCCGGGGGTTTCCGAAACTGTAACTCTTCACTGGAGTAGAAACGCTCATCTTTCACCCACAGAGCAGTTAGTGGTTTTGAACTGCTGACCTGTCAGTTAGCAGCCCAACTACATCACCAAGGCTCTTAGATTGACCAATAGCCTTTGGTAACCAAGGATTTAAGACACAGGTTATCCGGAAGTTAAGTTGATTGCTCTGATACTTTGACACTACCCCTCGGTGGCAGAGATAACCAGTTGTCTACATAGTTGCCTTCCCAGCCTTCTTAGAAAGTAGAGTTGGGTAGTGAGTGAAATAGTTTATTTGGTTTTATCTCTCTAGAGAACCCTGTCTAATACAGTGAGCCACAAGGGGAAGTCTTCAAATGAGACCTCTGGTTGAAACTTTTTAAGGGGGACTGTGTTAGTCTGGGTTGACTGGAGAAACAAATTCATAGATACTCATGTGTATAAGAAACAGCTTTATATACAAGAGTGATTGAATATTGAGAAAATATCCCAGCCCAGACCAGATCAAGTTCCTAAGTCGAATATTAGCCCCTATGTCCGATACGAATCTATAAATTCCTCTTTCGACTCATGCAACACATGCAAATGACACCGAATGCAGGCAGATCACAGGCCAGTGGGTGGAAAGTCTTGTGGATCCAGTGGCAGTGGAACCATCTGAACACTGGCAGGGGTCTCCGTGTGGCTCCTACAGCTCCAGGGCTCTGGCGTAGCACCATATGTCTTCTCAACAGGAATGTCTCCCAGAGAGTGAGTGTATGTCCTGTCTCCAGCGAGCTATATATCTCCTTAGCGCCTCCAAATGAGGTCATCAAGCTATGACCTGCTTGACAGGCTAAACTCTACCCCTTCACTCTTTAAGTCTCAAATTGACAACAGATTATGTAACTACCACACGGATGGCACAGCCTGGAGGCATACGTCTTCCCAGCTTTCAGATATGTGAACGAGGGTTTTTGAGCTGCTGGCCCATTTAGGCCCCACTAAGGACTCGGCTCTCATATTTATATGAAGCTGCTGAACCAAGGCCATCCACTGCCAACTCCAGCCCCTAGACATTCCAGGTGAGAAAAATAGACCCTTACTTAAGCTACATTTAGTGGTATTTTTACAGTTCTATCAGATTGAATAGGTCAATCCAGTTTGCTACTTTTAAAACAGTATCAATTAAAAAAATGGTCTCCCTGAGGTGTCTTTATATATAGATAGTCCCCTCCAATTTTACCTTTCCTCAACGAAATTTTAATACTACAGACACACTGTGCGGGTGTGTATTTATGTACTGTAGCCCTTTCGAGGGCCAGAAACAATTGTAATAGCTATGATTGTTGTTGCTGTCCCGTAAAGATCCAATTTTCAAGCAATTGTTTTTATTTATTTATTTATTACAGTGAAGGTTATTTTATTTAAAAGCAGTTTTATTGAGTTATAATTAGCAGCTCATATAATTCATTAGCTCATCCAGATTCAGAAGGGTTGTGCATTCATCACTACAACACCCTTTGGCACATTTTCATCCTCCTTGTCCCCACCGCTGTCAGCATTTGCGTGTTTGAATGAAGGAAGTGGATTGTGAAGTGAATCATCCCAGACTCTCTCGGCATGGGTTATGGTTGGAAGTGGTCCTGCACCATGCCCGATAAGGAAAGAGAAGCATTCATGAGAAAAATGTGCTCCTGGCCATTGTTGGACCTGGGTGTAGCATCCATCATTGTCAGATCGGTTCAGAGCCATCAAACCTGCTTGGAACCTTTGAGTCTAGAAAGTAGAGCTTCGACCACTGAGACCACTGGGTGTGTGTGTGGGCGGGGGGTGAGGGGACAAAACTGCATAAAATAATCATTTTAGTTAATAATTATAAATATAAGTAGAAAAATCCAAAGATAACTACAATTAAAAAAGTCAGTTGGATAAAGCCAGCGTGTCGGAAAAACGAAACAAAACAGCAGCAGGAGGCTGGCTCCCTGGGTGGCACACATGTTTAAGCGCTCAAGGCCTAGCCAGAAGGTTGGTGACACACCCACTCGAGCGCTCCCGTTGACAGGCCTGGCCTTCCGCTCCTGAAAGGTCATGGCCATGAAGACCCTAGGGAACAGTTCTGCATGTGGACTTAAACCATGAGTGATGATAACAATGAACTTGATAACAGCTTTAAGAACAAAATGAGGAGCTGATACCAAGGGCTCAAGTAGAAAGCAGGTGTTTTGAAAATGATGATGGCAACATATATATATGTACGAATGTGCTGGAGACAAATGACGTATGTATGGTTTGTGAAAAGAGTTGTATGAGACCCTAATAAAATGATTTTTTAAAAATCCACAACAATGTAGCAATTACCATTTTGTGGGCATGGCCTTTTGTGGGCAGGGTTCTGGGAACTGCGGTATTTCCTTCTTGGAGGTGGGAGACACTCACTCTCTTGGCTCACTTCCTGCGAGACATTTCTGACAAGAAGCCACACGAAGCTACCCTGATGCACCCAGAACCCTGGGAGCTGGAGAAGCCATGTGGAGACCCCTGCCAGCACTGAGGTGGTTACAACACCGCTGGATCCACAAGACTTCCCACCCATTGGCCTGGGAACTTCCTGCATTCAGCAGCATTGCATGTGTTTCGTGAGTCTGAAGAGGACTTTATACAGTGGTATGGGACATATGGGCTAACACTGGATTTATGGACTTGATCTGGACTGGGCTGTGGGGTGTTTTCTCAATATTCAATTGTTCTTGTATATAAAACTCTTTCTTAGTGCACATATGAGTGTCTGTGAATTTGTTTCTCTAGTCTACCTGGATTAACCACACTGTAAATCTTAGTGGAGCAGACAGCCTCCTCTTTCTCCTGAGGAGTGGCTCAGAGGTTTGAACTGCCAATCTGTGATTATCAGCCACAGTGCCACCTAGCCCTGATTTTCATGGTTTTTCGCATTGTACTTAACCTAATGTGTCCATTACAGTTTGTTCAGGGAAAGCATTGACTAAATATAAACTACTTTGTACAATTTAAGGACTAAAATAAGGTGGGAAGAAGTGAATGGAGAAGGGAGTAGAAACGCATGTCTTGTCGGCTTATGTCAGTGTGTGTGCAAGGCTTCACCTACTCCTGATTTTATTTCGTAAATGGCACCAGTGCTGTTACATGTATTTCGTTACCAACTATGTTTGCTAAACGAGTGCCTTCTCACCTTTCTATCGGAAAGGTGTCTTGGTGTGATGCTAAGAGGAATGGCAATAGTAAGTCGTTTTGGATGGTAAATAAACTTTTGAGCACAGTGAAGAGACCAGCCACTTACACACTCTTGAGAAGCAAGCAGTGTTGTAATATATCAAACATTTCAGTGTTCTAATATGTTTATACTTTTTAAACGAGCTGAAAATGCACAGACAACCAGATGTCTTGTATTATGTACACTCAGCTGAAACCAGCTGCTGAAACAATTTCTTATGATTTAATGTTCTTGGCACTTCACCCTACAAGAAGGTTTGTCTTGGTAACGGTTTCCATGTTAAACCAAATGACTATACATTTCATGTACTACCACTGTAGTGCTGGGTTATGGCTCAGGCTGCAACTTATGAGAGACTCTCAGCTTGTGAAAGCAGGGCGCACTGCCACGCTGCCACGGCAGGCTTGGCACAGGTAGCATGGTGTGCCAGCGCTGCATTAGCTGGCAAATACTGAGAGGAATCTACATAAACTGGTCTACCACGGGCAATTCAAAACTAACAAACATTTCTTAAACAACCCTGTTCAGTCATTCTATTACTATTGAAAACAAAATGGCAGTGCGCATGTGTACACCTACACCTCTGTACAAGGAATCTTCTGAAAGTTTATGGAAATGCATATTGTGAAAAAACGATGTATGATCTTCAAACTATTGATTGTACCGAAATAAACTTATACTCATTTGTTATGTATCTGAACAGCATCTAGTGTGAGGCAGTAGGACAGATAAAAGACATGAGTTTAAAAAGAGCCCCTATCAGAGAAACATGCATTCTGTCAAAATTAAGCAAGAACAAACCTCCTAAATGTATGGTGAGGCTTGCGTGGAAGAATGGTGAAGCCGTTGTCTTAGAAGTTTATGGGGACAATGTCCCAAAGAAGCCGGCGGTTTACAAAGGAATAATAACTCGTTTTGAGAAGGGACAAGATGTTGAAGTTGAAGCTCACAGGGGCAGGCCATCCACGTCAATTTACGAGGCGACAATTGTGTTCTTGCCCTAATGGAAGGGAACTGATGGCTAACGGCACAAGTCATCACCAGCACTTTAGCTCAGTTGGTTCAGCTTATAAAGTTCTGACCGAAAAAATTGAAATTGAGTAAACTTCCCACTCTGTGGATGCCGGTGGACAGCTGCAGACAAGAACACGGTTTTCAGTGGGAACTCTGAACAAATGGGTGAAAGGTTCTCAAGATCCGTTTCCTGGCAGAACTGTGATAGAATAGGAAACATGGCTCTGCCAGTGCCATCCTGAAGACCAAGTACAGCCATGGCTACCCAGAGGTGAAAGTGGTCCAGCCATAGCCAAAGTGGACCACTCGGGAACAAAGGTCACAGCAATGCTTTTTTTGAGATGCTCAGAGCAGTTTGCTCTTTTACTTTCTGAGAGTCAAAGAATGATAAAATCTCCTTAGGAGTGTGTTCTGGGAAAGTTAGCCAA